CCCCGTCCCCCTCCCAGCCAAGGTGCCTCTTAACTCACCATCTTCATCAGCCAATTCCCAAAAGGCACTGTGGAGAAGAATCCCTTTGGTGGCTCATGCGATTGCCTTACCTACTCGCCAGGTGATCACGATAGCTAGCCTCAGCTAGCTGGAGGTGCTCTTGCTTTGGCTCACCCCCCCGGGCCTCAAGTTGATCCACCTACGCCAAGCTTCCGTCCATGTCCACCAATTTGCTTGGTATGGCCGCACCAGGTATCGGCGGCTACTCACGCTTGTTGGACAGCAAAGAGCACTGGAAGCCCCGTCAGCTCGCAGAGACCTTGCTGGGTACATGCCACTTGGCCAAGCGGCATGGGGTGACAACGCAGCGATTCGATCTCAGAATTTCCGGACGTTTTGAGCCTGTGATTGCGGAGGGGTGGAATGAAATGGGAGAATGGGGATGTCTCCAGCATTTTTCGCAGTATGAGAGCCAAGCTTAATAAGTAAGTGCTTGACCACTCAGAGGCCTCGTCCGCCTTGGCATGTGGAGCCTTGGGAGCTGGAAATCTCTCGCGGGGAGCGTGACTCGTCGTCAAGGGCTGGTCTCGACCCCTTCCACCGCGAATGCGTGGAATACGTTTTTCTTTTTTTTTAAAACTACATTTTGGAAGCCCGCGTGTCCCTGAATATTACTATACATAGGTGCCGGCTAGCCGTTACTACCAAAGCTCCCCCCACCATAGTGCCTACTATATCTACTATTCATTTGGTTCCTAGATAAGAAGGTGGATGCCAAGGGCGAGCAAAGACTTCACTACTGGGCCAGCGGCAAGTCTGGAGGCGCAAACTTGCAAAATCTCATAAGGTGAGAGCAGGGAGAAGCACCGGCACTTTGTTTTGCATGCCGATGAATGCACAACTCCTAACTAGGTAACTGCCTGGGTTGTCATATATTGCTATGCATTGAACAATCCAAATAAGTAGGTTGGCTCAAAATCTTCAATTACACAGAATCACAACAAGGTGCCAAATCTAACTATACGGCACCCATGATCAAGCTTGGCCGAACAATAGCCCACCCAGTGCACCCAGCAAGCCAACACACCAAATTTTGACTGCATTTGTTGAGGTAACTCAAGGCAGTTTTGTTTGGAATGAACCTGCTCAGAATTGGAACGGAATAGTTCGTAGCGCATCCACCACCATTTTTTAGAGTCGAGGAGCACAAGGGTGCGGAATTGGAATATTCCGATACACAGACACATACTTTGGATAAACTCAGGAATTGGTCGCGGTGGCTTTGGGGAAGTGTTTCACGGTCGCTGGGCCGGAGTCCGAATTGCGGTGAAGGAGATGAAGGACATGCCCTCAAAAAACTACGGCAAAACTGAGGCAAACTCATGCACAAACTGTTGAGTTTTGTTTTTCTTGCTTTGCTGTTTCCGGTAAACTCAGAGAGTCGGAGATTCCATGGGTGAATTGCAGGACAACTCACCCAATGATGGTGATGTCATGGACTTTTTCTTGGAGATCGCCATGCTGTCCCAGCTGAATCATCCTAACATTGTACGCTTTTGGAGGGGCTCCACTGAAATGCATGCTGGTAGCAGGAGCTTGCTCATGGTCACAGAGTATATCAAGCAAGGTGGCTTGACTGGACCCAGCAATGCTCCTTTTGGGATGTGTGCAGGTTGGTGCACCAGAGGCTTGTTTCAGAGGTTCAAAGTTTATGCCAGATGTTTCCCATCGCACGCATTGAAAAAGAGGTGGCTGATTGAAAGAACACGGAAGGTTTTGGAACTATCAGACATACAGTTTTCCTCGGTGCTGAGAGAAGAAAATAAACAATCACACAAATGTGAACCGTTTTTCCGTTGTGTTTTGGTGCCTGCAGAGGTGGTCTGTCTAGACTCTTGCACGGTCATGGTGGGCCGGCGTTGCCCGATCCGCTGACCTTACCACAGTCCTTGTCCTTCGCTTTAGATGTGGCCAGAGGAGTACAATATTTGCATAGTCAGCGAATCCTTCACTTGGATCTGAAAAGTCCAAATGTTCTTTGTGCACCTGTTTGGACTGCAAAGTTGTGTGACTTTGGGCTTGCCAAGATGCGGGGAGAGGCAACCTATGTGCAATCCACCATTCAGGGGGGTCAGCCCAGTTTGGGCACCTCCGGAGATGTTTGACCATTGGAATGGGGGATTGACGGAGAAAGCGGATGTGTATTCCTTCGCTGTCACTGGCCTTGCATGTTTAGAAGCAGTTGTTTCTATTTTAAGTTGCATGTTATGAGAGCAGCTGGTTTTAACATTGCCCCCCCCCACTCCCAGAACTCCATCCACAACGGCATCTCTTCATGAACGGCCATGTTCCTTTCGATGTGGATGGCAACCTCGTTTGCCCAACAGGAGCAACTGCCACATGCAGGGATTACAATTTAGTGCATGGAGGTCATGGTTGAAGAAGTGGAATTGCCAACAAAACCCATCAATTCTATAGGCCTCCCACCTAAACTGCATCCAATGCCGTAGCCTAGAAGTAAAGTTACATATTTTTCAACTTGGGTCTTTAATGACCTGAAGCGGATCAATATACCAAATGCAAGCGTGTACAAATGCAAAGAAGGTGTGTCAAATGTTCACCTGTGGTGGTTTGAAAAGCTTGACTCGACGCGCAGTTTCGGCGGACCCTAACAGGATGGCACTTTGTCTTCCTTTCTTGACCCACGATCCTGTAACCACACAATGTTGTTTGAATGAGCTTTCTATATACGGTATATATATATATATTTTTCTATGTCAATTATGGAAACTCTGGAACTCGATAAGATGCGACAATTTGGCTTCTCCCGTTGTGGACCATTTGCCAAGGACCGTGACCAGAGACATTTTGTTGTGGTTGTTATGCTGCTGTGAGTTTTGCGCAGAACCCCCCTGAGATGTAATGGTTTGCCAGCTCTCTGCAGTTGTCAGGTGATTTTCTTTGAGCTTCTCACCAAACAGTTGCCCTTCTCTGAGATTTCTGCCGCCCAGCTGCCGGCAGCCAAAGCAGCTGGTCAGCTTCCGAGCATTCCACCCAAGGCCAGTGTATTTCTTTTCAGTTTCGCACTGTTTTTTTTCACCTGTAGCAGCTGGCATTGAAGTGGGGAGTTGATGTCACAGATGGCCTTTTACTATTGGGTGGTTGACGATTAGAGGGGATACCCCCCAAACGAACAACCAATAGGTATTTGATGGTATTTGGTACCAAATCGACCCCTACATCATTGGTTGATGTATCTTCATGCCTATTCATCATTGTTATTCTTATATAACTCAGTCGCAGCATGATCCATATTGTCACCAGCATTGGCAGAGTCGACGGTGTTGAGGTGCCACCAGACTGTGCAGAACTGATTTGTCAGTGCTGTGTGGCCGATCCCTTGGCTAGACCTTCCATGAGTGGTGCAGCAGCTCGAGTCAGGGAAATTGCGCAGAGCCACGAGATCCAACTGCTGCTAAGAAGAAATTCAGCACAGAACCTTATGTAACACCATGTAACACCTTTGGTTTCAAGCGGCATTTTGATAACAAATTGTGTGTGCGAGAGTCGAGAGTCGTTTATCAATATTATTGTACCTCTTCACAGCGAGCCAAAAAGATGGCTTCTTGTCATGGTGTGGGACTTATCAAAGTTCTGAAAATGTATAAGGTTATCCTGTAACCTCCTGGCCATTTGAAGCTTCTTCGATCCAGGTCAGATGTCAAGCCACCGGCTGCCCTCCTGCGCTTCGATGACGACCAGGAGCGTCGGGTCCAAGAAGCAGAGAACGCTGCAGCGAAGAGGCTCATCGAGGTGGACAAGCAGCGTGCAGTTCTCCGGGTCGAGCTGGCAGACTTGCATAAGAAGATCGAGGACCTGCGGAAGCGCACCTGTGTCAGCAGAATTTAGTGGTAAAGAATGGACAAGAAACACGGAGACACCATCAAACTTCATCAAACCTCTCATATATTGCCTTTTCGTTTCTGCCTCGTCTTCAGTCTTCACTTCTTCCTCCCTACTCGGAGCTCTCTTGTCTTTTGCGGCCGCGCGACCGTGTGACCAGTGAGTCACCCGGGACGGGGATAGGTGTGCTGCTAGTGAGGAAGGTGTGCTAGTGAGGAAGAGGAATCTTTAATGCATTCATGGTTCCACCTAGGACCTAGGGTGTATCTCCTGCAAAATTGGTGCATGTGACAGGCACAGCAGAACTCAGCGCCCAGGGCGTGCCAGCTGGGTATCAACCAGAATCTGCTGAATCGGACACCACATGGTGTGAGCCCTTTATTCAAGAGGTTGATGGCATGAAGTTTCGCTGCATGCTGTGCTCCAAACTTTTTCGAGGTCCTGAGTATGCCAAGATGCATTTGGAAGCAAAGCACCGTGAAGAAGCAAGGCGGATCATTGAGGACAAGTATTTTGATTGTGATGTGTCGAGGGAGGACGCGATGCCTTTGCATCGTGCCATGGGTCATGGTGGCACCGCACACCGAAAAGGGCTGGAAACAGAGGTGAACACAGAGCAACGGGAGAGCTGATGTGCCAGACCCTTGACTATTGGAACGAAATGGCCCGAAATATGAAGAAGCCAAACACCCGCTCCTTGCCACTCCGCCACATTGTGCGACTGTGTTTGCGCCGCCAGCTGGAGCACTTCTTCCATCGGTCCATCCCATGTTCCATTCGGCATGACCTGTGATTTGATACATGAAGAGGGCTCGAGGTGGTTCACGGTCATCATGAGGCCGAAGATGTCCCAAACTGCCGCAGTTGTCGCCCAGTGATGCAATGATGTGCAATGGCACCGTGCAAATGAGAGATGTGGACAGCTATCTTGTGATGTCAGACACACGGACTTTGCCTTCCTGAACGACCCTGACGCTCAAAAGGAAATGACCGAAATAGTCGAGCGGAAATGTAGCAACCACTGGTTTTGGGATGTTTTGGGCAGATTGTGTCTCACCGTGTGAGCTGTTAAAAAATGTTAAAAATATGTGAAGCAGGCGCAGCAGCAGGTCGTCATCGTGGAGGAATCTTGGTCACCCAGGAGGACGGTTGTGCTCGCAGGGGGGGGTAGGACTGACGCAAATACATTTCCTCCGCAGTTGCGCACTCGTTGCATGTTTCAGGATAGAGTTTGTGGGCATCATGCTTGTGCTCGGCTCAATTTGTTTCAACTGCCACGATCTCAGTGTTTCCTCCTGAAACGTTGTTGTCACATTGATGACAAGATTAGCAGCAGTATATAGTTCGAAAATCATCGAACATCCAACGAAACACAAACTCAGAGTTTTCAACGCATTGAGCAGAAGGTCTTGGAGCCCTCCTTGTGGAGAACTTCTTGAAAGCCAAGGGTGAACTCTATGAACAAAAGGCCATGTTCTAAGCCAGATGCCCTACAAAAGTAGTTGGTTGAGCCGCAGTTCAGAACTGATTATGGCATATAAGCGTTGCCTATCTGGTTTTCGGCATTTCTACCTGAATTTAGATTTACTGTAGAGAGTTGGAATGGTTTCTAACTTAATTTTAGATTTACTGAAACGAGTTGGAATGGTGAGACCAACAAATTAATCAGCAAATGCCACACAACCTCTTCCTCACTGAGCACCTACTCTGTTTCGTTGTCGTTTACACAATTTATATAAGTTATATGAAAAATTAATATAAGTTATGTGTTTTCGAATTTGTGGGAGCAGGCCCAACTTCTGCTTGGAGAAGTCGTGGTGAACTCCATCCTAGTCTTTGTTTGGAGCCCCAGAACGGCGAAGAACATGTTTGCAAAGCAACATGTGTTTTGCCGCACACAAAGTGCGTGCTCGAATTCGTCATTTTGGTCATTTAACAGAACATTTGTTCGAGGCCATGATTTGGGTCATGGAGTCGATACACAAAAATCATGGCCCCCAAAAGCATGCGTGCAGGTCGGGCCGCTCTTCATCACCGACCTGGAGGTTCTTTTTGCGTCGGTTTATGTTTTTTTTGTAATGGTTTTTTGATTGTTGGAAAACATGTGATTGAACATGAAAAACAAGAGAAATGGCAATGTAATGCGGGGAAGCAGAGTGCTTTGACTTTGTCTAGAGCTTTTGAAGACTGCTTGAGCAGTGACAGTAAGGTTCCAAACTTATCGCGTCGTCATGCATGCACAGGCAATGCCAGGATCAGGTTTGCAGTGAATCAGCTGGAGGGAATTTGCGGCAAACCGATTTATAATGTATACTGTATATTTATATATATATATACAGTTAGCAGATCACTACTTGTGGGGACTGCAGTGGCAAATGATAGTACGACTCGTACAACGAGGTCAACAACTTGTGACGGCCACACGTGGTACCTTTGAAAGGTACGGGCAATGAACTCACCCTGGCAGAGAGGCTTTTTTTCTGGCTGGGATGGCGCGTGTCTCAGTTGGAGAGAGCATTTCGACACATCCAAAGAGTCTTCAAAGAGTTGGAACATGTTCGGACATGTTTGTGTATCGTTTCAACATGGAGAGATTCGTTTCAACATGGCGCGCTCTTTTCTTTCGCTCCTGTGTGGATGAGGTCGTGTTTTAGTTTGTGCCATTCTGTGGATCCCTGCTGGATGGACCGCTACAATGCTGGTGAAGTTTGAGACCCAGACCATGCCGGCTACGATGCGGTACCTTTCGTGTGGTTTCGTGTCTAGTCAGGGTATTCCTTTGATAATAAATATGGCCCAATGAATCAAAAAACAACATGAGAAACCGGAGAGGCACTTTTATGGAGATGGCAGAGTTTGTCTTCACCTCCTTGCGAGAGAAAACTAATTGGCGTGTATGGTTTGTTGCTTGCAAATCAGCCAGGACTTAGACCGGAACAGACGAGCGCTCTTTTTCAATTTGCTGAATAAGTCAACATGTATTATATACTGTACAATATAACAATAAATCAAAGCAACACAATATACAAACAGCTATTGAATTACACAATCAAAGAGAATGGGGAACACCGACTGCGGATCCCATGGTTTTTAGTGATATGATATGTCGCCTTCAGGAGGTAGAGTCGTCATTAGCCCGGAGGCGTTGCTCGAACTTGCTGAAGACTTTGGCACAAGCTTTTTCCTCTGCCCGGGTTCCCATTTTGAAGCCTTTGAGTGCTCCTATTGAGTGAGCGTTTGACCCCAGCACTTTGATATTTTGCACATCATTGTTTATTGAATAGCTCCACAGTCACTTTCAAATTCCAGAAGCGAATTGAGCCTCTGACAGGGCGTGCTTTGGATCACGAACGTCGTCGTTTTTGTAGCGAATGCGGTCAGTTTTGAGGTTTTGACTTATGTCTTCAGCGTGGTTCCTCTAAGCAGTGGGCCTCGCACCTGGCAATTCTGGCTTGTTTGAAACACAGTCGGTCTAGAGTTAGGGCTACTAGGGGCTGGCCGTACTACTAGGCACAAGAAGCTAGTAGGGGCTCCTGGCATCGCTATTAGGAGCAAAGACGCTACTAGGGGCTCCTGGCCTTACTACTAGGAGCAAGGACGCTACTAGGGGCTCCTGGCCTTACTATTAGGAGCAAGGACGCTACTAGGGTGTCCTCGACGCCCCAGGGCGCACTTCGTCACCATGCTGGGCCCACCATTGACACCGGAGCCTGTGTCATCCCCTGTGGTGTGGCAGCCGAGGTGGAGTGGAGTGGGCTTGCGGGATGACTTTCCAACTTTAGCGTTTCCACAGGCGTTTCTACAGTATAGTCACCCTGGAGTCGATTCGATCGATTGAACCTTTTTTTTTTTCAACAACACTTCGAAACCGGCCTTCGCATGCCTTTGCAAATTTTCACAACCCCCATCGATAGAATATGACGAATATGGTTGCAGGATGTTGTAGGCCGTAAAAGTTATTTCACTTCTATCCTTTTCTTCAATTTGTTCTCTTTCAAGTTTACTGCATTGAATTCCTTCTCTTGTCTTTCCTGTATTCTATCTACTCTATAGGATTCTATGGGGCCCTTTTCCTACGAAAACATACTCTATTTGCATTTATTTGCTCCAGCACAATTTTTTAAATTGTTTGTAGCAGCTGGAGATACAAGATCAGATTCCACATTTGGAAACGAAACAGTGTTTCCGAGCGAGTACCTCGATATGGTAGATTGATCGTATTCTTAGCTTCATCAGTGATCAGCGTTAGACAATGTCAATCAATGTCAATAAAGCTCTCCTACCAGCATTGGCTTGTTTCTGTTTTGGTGCGGACGACAATTGACCGTTCAGATAGGAACACCTTTTTCGGTTTGTGAGTGAGGTGTTGCTGGCGATCAGTGTGATGATCTCGGTTGGGATGCTTGGAATTTGCCAGAGCTTAGGGTGAACACAACTCCTGAATGCTGTACAAACTGTACTGAACTGACAATCCAGAAAACTACTAAATACTGTAATGACCTGTAATGACAATTATAGAAATTTGTAGTTCTCCTTTGCCAGCTTTTCTCAGCAAAGGAGCTTCAAGGACAGCTTTTTGATCAAGAGAACCACAATCAAGTCTGCCAAGCTTTCCCACACCGGGACTCGTCGAGACCGGACTCGAGGACTCGAGACCGGACTGGTCTCGACACTCCGAGGCACTGACCTTTGGGGCAGACCGGAGAGAGCTTGGGTTTCCAAGCTCTGGGATTCTGTTCATCGGAGCATCGCGGAGCATTCACACCCAGCAGCACCATTAAAGAGGACTGCAATGCACCACATACAGTACGGTACTTATAATTATAAGATCTTATAAGTATATATTATACTGAATGTATAATTTGACATAGATGTTTAGCTAAGTGTGAGTAGGAAGATTAAAGAAGTTTCTTATGTTCTGGAGATCCACATCATGGCTTGGCTTGGTTCCTTTAAAATCGCCTCGTGAACGGATGGTACTATACTGTTAACAAAGACAGCGCATGTGTTCAATCTTCGGTCGCAGTGGGAAGGTGTGTAAACAGGATTGCCGCATCACAGCATACTGCTAACATATGCACCCTTGACCCGTTGGCTTTGCAAACGGAGGGCGAGGGAAGGTGCACTTCTCAGCAATCCCCTTAAGCAACTCCGCTTCACGTGTTTGGGAAGAGCGCAGCAGCGCGGTTGTTCTATGTTGATCTTTTGTCACAGCAGCGAATCTGCGTGACATCACCTTGGACACCAACGCCCCGAATGGCTGAGCATGAGCTATTCATCTATACATAGTTTTTTTCCCTCCGTGCCCAAAGGGAGGCGCAAGCGGCACCTACAAACGGGTTAGAGTATAAGCAACCGATCACCAATAAAGTAAGACCACCGAAGGGATATTGTCTAAATCACTTGGATTTCTGCGTATATAGTCGCTGGGAAAAACCCTTTGCATTGAACAATGGATTACCAGACAAATATCCAAAGCACTGAAATCAAATATGGGCCAAAAGGGCAGTGGGCTAAGCAAACTACGGGTGGGCTAACCAAACTATTTTGCTTGCCACTCATTTGATGGTTTCGTTTGGTGCAAGTGCAAGATGATAACTCCAAGTATAATCACATGGTAGCAATTTTATATATATATATATTTCAAGGCTTACGCCTAACAGCCGGGCGCCGGCCCACTTGGGTCTGTGGGGCATATGTCACGCCTATGTTGCCCTTGGTGGGGCCTATATTGAGCAAAGTTAAGCTATGTGGTGCGCATCTTGGCCCTAGGTTGGGCCAAGTTGGGCCCATGTGGTCTATGTTGGGCACATCTTGGACCCATGTCGAGTCTATGTTGGGCCTATGTTGGCCTATGTTAGGCCTATGTTGGCCTGTGTTGGCCTAGGTTGGGCCTATGTTGGCCCCACGTTGGCCTATGTTGGCCATTGTGTTGAGCCATCTTGGACGCTATGTTGGGCATATGTTGGGGATATGTTGGCTATCTTGGGCCTATGTCGAGGATATGTTAGGAAATTTTATTTTTATACCTCACACACACGAAACACTGTAAATTACGTTGATATCAGTGAGCCGGAAGTGACCAGGGGGTCCCCCCGTTTTGGTGACGAGGGTCGGCGGCAGGGGGCGCGCCCGTATCCGGCCAGGGCCCCGGGAGGCCCCAAGGCCGTGTCCTTGCCGTAGGCCATCTCTCCTCTCCGTAGGAGAGGGGAGTGCCGCCCCCGCTGCCGACTTACCGAAGCTACCGCGTTTTACAGTATTTTTGGCTTGTCCCATTTTTCGGCTCTTGCGGCGCAAGATGGGTCAACATGGCCCAACATAGGCCCAAATAATGCTGGAAATGCGCGCCGCACCGGGGTGCTTCGTCTGCATCGTGGGCGGATGCTGGGCTAACATGGGCCACATAGCCCCAACATGGGCCAACATAGCCCCCAAGATGGGCCAACAGGCCCCAAGATGGGCCAAGATAGCGCCAAGATGGGCCTACATAGCCCCCAAGATGGGCCAACATAGCCCCAACATAGCGACAAGATGGGCTAGCATAGCACCCAAGATGCCCAGATAGCCCCCAAGATACGCCAACATCGACCCAAGCTGGGCCAAGAAAGCAACAACAACAACAACAACAACAACAACAAC